CCCCAACCCACCATGTCCTCACCCATCAAACCCAAATCCCGCAAGTTCCCACGGCCCTCAACGGCAATTGGACCCAGGCACCAATTCCCGATCCAGTTGGAGTTTTTGCTCTAGACCTTGCACCAGCGGAAAACACGAAAGTTGCAGGTGCGGCGTGACTGGGTTTTGTTTTGGCGTCGTGACAGGGATCTCCGGCAGCCGATCTTTGATACGAGGTGCATGCAGCAGCCTTGAATCTCCGGCAGCCATGACCTCGAAGGGGTGGTAGTCGGCGTTTGTTGCAGTTGGGGTAATAGTCGGCGCCGCATCCTCTTTCTCTCCGCCAGTGCCCTCCCCAACTCCGTAGCTGCAATCCGCTGCCGATTCGCCTTCTCACGTATCTCCATCGCCGATTCCCCCACCCCATGTCTCCCAAAACAAACCCCAGCCGCAGCCTCCATGTCTCCACAATTTCTGAGCACGGATCTGAAACTTTTGGTGGACATGGCTGACTTGAATGCTCTGATTTGTGATTGTGTATAATTATTAGTGTTTTTTTCTTTTTTGTGTGTGTGTGTGTGTGTGTGAAGGAAATCCTTGATCCGTTGGCCATGCTGCGAAAAACAAAGAAGGAACCCTTTGTTGGGCTTGAAGACGGTGGAGATCAAAGGGAGAGAGGAATTTTTTTTTTAATTTTGAATTTCCACGTGTAAACCTTAATAACGTGTGGTGCCTAGTCATTGTCTACAAGAACATTACGTCATCAGTTAACGGAAGACTTAACAGTCAGACTAATAGATGTATGAGACTGTCTCAAAATTAACACTTTAAGTATAACTCAGGGATAAAAAAAATTTATGTACAAAATGTTGAAAATTGTAAAACTTGAAGATAATAAGTTAAAATTTTTTATTTTTTTATTTAAAATTGAATATAAATAATATCTGACGAAATCTAATTAGATAATGTACAATAAACAAATATGATTAGAGAATTCTCAAAATCTTCCAAGAGAATCCGAAGATCCTCTCTCACTATAAATTCAGTTTTCCTAACTTTTGTTTGCAGTTCAACAGTGCATGTGATTCTATTTAATTTTTGACATGACATTGACTTTTTGAGGTGATGGTCCCAAAAATCTATTAATATATGTTGCACTCAACCTTGCCGTGTGCTGAAGAACAATAACCTTAATTATCGAATAATTAGGTGCTTCACTTAAATCCCAATCCGTGAATGTAAAAACTTTAGAGAGATTATATTCACACATTTAATTACTTTTCTCACTTTTTTTTTATTTTTTTAATATTTTATACACACCATTAATATTTAATAGAAAAATATTAAAAAATTATTAAAAATGTGTAAAAGAAGTAATTTGGGATGTGTGAATATAATCGTTTTAAAGTTTTTACATTTCACGGATTTGGATTTAAGTGAGGCACCTAATTATTTGATAGTTAAGGTTATTCTACTTCAGCAAACGGCAAGGTTGAATGCAAATTTAATTTGTTGTTGATTGGGACACACGGATCCACTTTTTAGGGATATGAAATCTGATTTCGTACAGTGTTTCGAACATTGATAATTTGTACCCAAGTGTACAAAATACCCGTGGTTATCGTGTTTTAATGGAGTGTAATTTTTTTGTTCGAGTCTAACACACGCTCATGCGTTCGTAATGACAAGTATAATTTAAGTACGAGACTAGGAAAATGAAACAACAGTAAAAAACAAAGTCCATGTCAAATTACACTTTTCCCCCAAAAAGGGTAAATACGTCAACTTATACAAACGGAAAAGAAATTACAGTAAAAATTAGGGACGAGTCGTCACACTCAGGCTAGCATATTTAGGGCTCAAACGTTTGGCCAAACCTATGGGATCAATAATAATATGTTGGACCTCTGAAATTATATTGAAGGTGAAATAAATTAGTCACTTCTTATTGAGCGCATTTTTCCATAGGATAAATTAGGTTCTTTTTCTTTCTCATTACGTAAACTTTATTTCTTTTTTATTCTTTATCAAAGTCCTTTGACATTTATCCACATCATTATGTGAATACTAATAAATTACATGTTAGCATATTTCAATTACCTATCAAATGGTTGGCATCAATTTTCGATACCATTTCATGGAGCTGTGTCTGCATGGAAGCAAATTTTTTAACGGATGCAATCATTAGTACATGATTTAATTTTAACAATTTTCATGTGTTGGACTGTCTGTGGCAAGAATTGTCTTTCTCTTCGACTGTGTAGGAACTGGTTGTGTCACATCCCGGCCCGGGCCCCCACCACATCCCAAGCTTGACTCCACCGTAGCACGATATTGTCCGCTTTGGGCCCCGACCACACCCTCACGGTTTTGTTTCTGGGAACTCACACGAGAACTTCCCAATGGGTCACCCATCCTGGGAATGCACTTGCGCGAACTCGCTTAACTTCGGAGTTCCTACGGAACCCGAAACCAGTGAGCTCCCAAAAGGTCTCGTCCTAGGTAGAGATGAAAATATACATATAATGCTTACATGATCCACTCCCCTGGACAATGTGAGATGTTACAGGTTGTCACTCTTTTAATGCTTTATTTTTCTTACTAAAAAAAATTTTCAATTTTAAAACTGAAAACTTATTTAATCATTTCTAAATAAATTTTTATTTTAACTTGTCCCATATTTTATTTTTGTATCGATATTCTTTTTACTTTAATTTATACCCATATATTTCAATTTCTAATTGTTCCCATGTTTAAAAAAGAAATTGATTTGTACACCATAATTTTAAATTTTATGTACCCATATTTTTTTAATTTAATTTGTAATGTATTTATTTTTGTTGAATGTACCTTGCTAATTACAAGTATTTATTTATTTATTTTTAACAAACAATAGTATTTACCGTAAGGAGATACAGGAGTGAGCTAAACCTTACAATGGGCTTGCCATAATAATATGGTTCAACTTCATCTTTGGCGAGAATCAAACTGAAGACCTCTCACTTACGAGTGAAAATAAATACCACTAAACCGTAATACTAAATGACACATGTATTTATTTTATGTTTTAAAATCAAAGCGCTTTCCTAATGTAAAATGGGGCTTAAGACAAAAATAAAATGAGACCTCTTTAATTTTCAGTGCTTTAATATGATTTTTTTTTTCACAGACGTACATCTATTTAGATTTATGAGAATAAGAGATTTTATTTTCCTTCTTTCTAATAAAAAAAGGGTGAATAATGAAAATTTTAATATGTACACTTTCCAAATTTAAAGAGTAAACCCAAATAGCATTATTGTTATGTTAAAATTTCCATATATTTATCCGGTTCATATTTACTGAACCTTTCTTTTCGTCCTTTTATTAAATATTATTTAAATTGATTCTCCATACATTTGTACCTCATGGTCCTCATCATTGGTTTTGTCAAACTTTTATAAGTAAATTGTAACAAAGGTCTGTCAATTTTAATCAAATTGAAGCAATGATCTTTCAATTAAAAATTCATTATCATTGGCCCCTCAACTCATCAAAACATGTAGCTATGGTCCTTTTTGTCAACTATGTCAGAATTCTGTCAAAATGAGTTATGTTGAAAGGACCATTGCTATAATTGGGTTAAAGTTGAGGAATCATTGCTCAATTTGGGTTAGAGTTGAAGGATCATTTCTCCAATGAATTAAAGTTGAGGGACTATTGATACAATTTTTCTTATTTGATTTTCCATATTTGCCCCTTGATTTCACCTCACGTGCATGGCACGTGACTCATTTTGACGGAAGTTCTAACAGAGTTAACGAAAAAGATCGTAGTTTCACGTTTTGATGATTTGAGAATATCTCCCTTGGAGATGGTCTCAAAACGCCATGTAAGCCAAAGGAGATGTCCAAGTGCCATGTAAGCCTTCAAATTCAAAGTGCCAAAGGAGATGTCAAATTTTAAACCTAAAATTTAAATTTGAAGGCTTACATGGCACTTTGACATTTTTAAACTTTTGTCCTCTACCCTATATGTCAAATTTTAAAAATAAAATAATAATTCATATGTAATTTCTTCGCATTGGGAATGAAAAGAAACAAAAGGATAATACTTTAAACCAATAAAAAATTAATAAAAGGCATTTAATAATTAATTAAAAAAATATGAAGGTGCTGTCAAATTTGGCAGCAATGGGGAGAGATGTCAATCCATGTCATACCACATCAGATTTGGTTTATCGATTGGTAAATATGAATGCTGTCTTTTGTTACCGTTATTGCTGATTTGGACAATTTGACATCTCTTTTGGAGATGCTCTGAAGGGACCAATGATAATGACTTTTTAGGTGATGGACCATTAATTTCTCCAATTAGGTTAAATTAAGGGACCATTGCTACAATTTACTCAATTTTTATTTTGATCAATTTTTCCCAAACTATGATAAATAGTTAATTTTCATCCTACATTCATGTTTTCAAAATTTTCTTTAAAAATGTCACAGTTAGTAACTATTGTTTAATGACCAATATATATAGCTCTTTTGGCAAGTGCTTTTAAACGAAAACGTTTTTAAAGAAAATAATTCTGAGTAAGCGCTTTTTTATAATAAACTTGCATTTTTACAAAAAATTGGTTTAAAAAATATTTTATCTAAAACGCTTTTAATCTTTTAAAAACACTTGACATACGAGCCCATAATTTTTTTTAATGAGAAATCGGATAAAATGTAAATAAAAATGGACGGTAGGGAGGAAATTGACTATGTAATAGGAAAAATAATTATTTGATAACTCTGACCTCCTCTAACGAAATGAAGAATAACTGCCACAAATACTGGCCCCTAATTAAAGAGATTTCACCAAAACTATAACAGCCAATTTGTAGCTTGACAAATCAACCTGTAGTCAGGACACACGCAGGACAAACCCAACACCACCAACCCCCCAAACAACCCCCACCCCTCCCCGGCGGGCCCCTAGCTATTGCTATATTAATACTACACAAGAAGTGGCACAATTTTATAGCTGTATATCTACAGCCTCACCTTGCCTCCCTTTCGATAATATCTTTTTATTTTTTATTTTTTTATTTTCTCTGAGTAGTAGTCCATTTAAAATCCCATAGATATGGGAAGAGCAATTTCCATAGATATGGGAAGAACACCGTGTTGTGAGAAAGTTGGGGTCAAAAGAGGAAGATGGACGGCTGAAGAAGATGAAATCTTGACCAACCACATTAAAGCTCATGGAGAAGGCTCTTGGAGATCTTTACCCAAGAATGCAGGTTCGTGTTTATATAAAACACAGGCACATGTGCGCGCACACACACATATATGTATAGTAGCTAGCTAGCCTTCACATATGATAACACACTAAGGGTTGGTTTGGTATTGCTGTGCTTTGAAAAAAAACTGCTTCTGCTGTGCTGTGAGAATAAGCGGCTGTGAAATAAAGCAGCAGAGTGTTTGGTAAACTTTTTTGTAAAAGTGCTTTTGAAAAAAAAAACAGTATTATAATGTTTGGTAAACTTTTATGTAAAAAAGATGTGAAAAAAAGCTAGTTTTTCAAAGCTAGGTTTTGCAGCTTCTTGTTTTTGGCTTTTTTTCACCCAAAACTGTGAAAAAAAGCTGAAGCTGAATGTTTACCAAACACAAAAACAGCTCCCAGCTTTTTTTGATACCAGCTTTTTTCAGAATCACCTCAGTACCAAACCAGGTCTAAGATCCTTCATTTATATGTGTATACATATGGTGTGCATTTTGAAGGATTGCAGAGGTGTGGGAAGAGTTGCAGATTGAGGTGGATAAATTATCTAAGGGCTGACTTAAAGAGAGGGAACATCACTTCTGAGGAGGAAGAAATCATTGTTAAGTTGCACACTGCTTTGGGTAATAGGTATATATATGCTCCTTAATTTCATACATTTTATAAGGGAAGTGCTTCACATAAAAATGAATTTTATCTATTTTTAATACCTACAATGTCACATCCTGGTCCGGGCCCCCATCACATCTTGGGCTCGACTCCACTATAGCACGATATTGTATGCTTTGGGCCCTAACCACACCCTCACAGTTTTGTTTCTGGGAACTCACACGAGAACTTCTCAGTGGGTCACCCACCCTGGGAATGCTCTCGCCTGAACTCGCTTAACTTCGGAGTTCCAATGAACTCCGAAACCAGTGAGCTCCCAAAAGGCCTTGTGCTAGGTAGAGATGGGAATATACATATAAGGCTTACATGATCCACTCCCCTAGGTGATGTGGGATGTTACAATCCACCCTCCTTAGGGGCCCGACGCCCTCGTTGGCACACTTCTGGCCAAGGATTGGCTTTGATACCAAATTGTAACATCCCAGCGTGGGCCCTCACCACATTCTAGGCTCGACTCCATCGTAGCACGATATTGTCCGTTTTGGGCCCCAACCACACCCTCACGGTTTTGTTTCTGGGAACTCACACGAGAACTTCCCAGTAGGTCACCCATCCTGGGAATACTCTGGCCCGAATTCGCTTAACTTTGGAGTTCCAATGAACGCCGAAGCCCGTGAGTTCCCAAAATGCCTCGTGCTAAGTAGAGATGGGAATATACATATAAGGCTTACAGGATCCACTCCCCTGGACGATGTGGGATGTTACATACAAGTAATGAAGTAATAAATATATATAATATAAGAAAAAATTAGTACGCGGTCCCTAGTTACTAATGTTCATTAACTGAGACATTATTAGTTTTCAATTTTTGATTGAAGTCCATAGCATTAATGTGATAATGCCAATTTACAAGTTTATTACATATTTTTTAAAATAAAAATTAGTAATTGATTTAGGGTTTTAATACTCACATCTCTATTAAACTCCTAATTAATTTTCAATTCAAACATTTCCAAAATAAATAAAAAAATAAATTAGAATAAGTTTGTATCCATTAGTTTTTTTTATAAAAAGATTCTCAATTTTTTAATCTTAAATGTACACATTCATATAATTTTCAATTTTTTAAATCTTAAATGTACCTATTCTTTAAATATAACAATTTGTTATATGTAAAATGTACCCTTTTTTTAATATAAAATGTACAAATATTTTTATGTAAAATGTGTCGAATTTTTTAATATAAAATCCATTCAAATTTTTTAAATTTATTTTTAAACTTATATGGGTACATTCTGTTTTGTTGATTTGAGAATGTATCTATATCAAGTTTAATCGAAGAAATTTTCTAATGTTATTAAGCCTAATATCTCCTTTTTTGTGTGTTTTGAAGAGTATGTACCCATGTTTTTTGGTACAATTTATTTATTTATTTTTGTTAATTTTGATGAATGTACCCATATTTACACACACACACACACACACACACACACACACACAATATAACAGAGAGTATAATTTATATTTTATTATTTTTAATCCCACAAATTATGGGTTATATTTAAAATCTCATTAATATAAACAAATACAAATTTCAATTTTTGTTTTACAAAATATAGTAACCTACACTATTACATTAATGTGACTTTGATAAAAAAACTAAAAACAAATAAGGTTTCAATCAAAGAATATTGATAGTTAGGGACCTCATCCAAAATGTCTCTATAATAGATGTGTATACATATATTTGTATTGTGTGTGTGAAGTCATTGATTCATTCTTTAGTTTGAGAGTTCTAGTGCAATCTTTTATAACTGGACCGTTGTTCAACTTGGTTATGCTAGCAGCTAGATTAATTCAAGCTTTAGAATTTGTGTAATTGGAAATCTGATCAAGAACAACTCTGATTTATGTCCATTTTAAATTCCGTTAAGGTGGCGCAATTCACACACCCCTTTTTACCTTCCACACTCTTCTTAATTTCTGGCCGTCTGATCGAATGAAATAATCAAATGACAGAAATTAACAGACATGTGTGGAAGGTGAAAATGGGTGTGTGGATAGCATCACCCTTCTACCAACAATGTAATTCGATTTGCTTAATGACCGGATTGTGATATAGGGAAATTGCCAAGTGAAGAAGGATTAGTATTTGATTTACCAAAACTGACATGTTTCTTCAAGTGTTCATCTCAGATTAATTAAATTTTGGGCAACTTAATTATCTCCAGAACTGCATTATTTTAGTCATCTATCAAATATATAAATTTTAATTAAAGCCTAAGTGCTCAATCTTAAATCTTAAAACCGATGCAGTTGACCACATATAATTAAGTATAATAACCTTATATAGAAATACAAAGAGGGACCCTATAACTCCTACATTACATGCACAAGCCTCTCCAGAAGCTATGGATAATAGTTCTTCCAAATACAACACTACTATTGTCTCCCGCTCAACTTTTCTAAAGTGTAGGGTTTGCTAATTTAACCTTTTGGGATACTAATCAAGTTCTTAATTTCTCTTTGGGACAACCCCAATACTCTTCAAAGCACCATCCAGAGAACTAAACCAATGCTAATTTAATTAAGCAGTTGTAAGTATTAATATAAATCTGTTTGAGATAATATATACAATTAAACTTTGAATGCACTGTGGCAGGTGGTCATTGATTGCTGTTCATTTACCAGGAAGAACAGACAATGAGATCAAAAACTACTGGAACTCTCATTTGAGTCGAAAAATCTACAGCTTTACCAAGATGGGAAACGAATATCTACCCACCATTCTGAATGATGAGAAGAAGATAACTTCATGCAACAAGCGTCGTAGAGACGCTCAAGCGAGCAGATCTACCATGAACAACAAGAGCAAGAACAACAATTTATTGGCCCCATTTAACCCAATAAAATCAGAAGCAAAGCCTCAACTTGAAAAACCTAGTCTACCAACGGGCACCACTATTAATTTAGGGCAAGTGGGTGACGAGGACAGCAAATTAATGGTTTTTGAGTCTTGGGACCCAAGAAAGAATGGAGATGGTGGGGCAATAGGAATGTTGGGGATGCAAAGTTCTCGTTTGGACAGTGCGGAAATGATTAACTTGAATCCTTGTGGTGAGCAGAAAGGTGTACAATTATGCCTTGGGAATAAAGAAAACAATATTACAACTAGTTCAACTGCAATACGTGGTGATAATAGTGGTGAAAAGGAGGTTTTGGGGCCATATTGTGAATGTGTAGACATTATGGGCCTTAATAATAATATTTTTGAAAGTGAGGGGAGAAAAAGTACAAGCAATTGGAGCTCATCAAATGCAGCTGAGAGTGGCGGTGGTGGTGGAGAGTTGTTCTCTTTCTCTTCATCAATGAATTCAGGCTTTGATGATGAATGGCTTAACTGGGGTTGGGCAGGTGGTGGCCTTCAGTGTCACAATGGTGAACTGGAATGGTGGGATGAAGGGGAGAGGATAGCTTGGTTGTGGGAAAGTGGCAGTACTAGTGAAGGACACTAATGTTGCTGCCGATGCAAAAAAAGTGGACACACCAAAACTTAATGAATGAGTCTACAATATTCTTCCACAAACTATCTAATTTCTTTATAAAAAACAATATAGAAATTTACTGTGAGAGTTGATTCTGTGACAGAATTTGTAACTTGGTGTGGTTTTATGCAATTAAGAAAAGTAATTAAGATTGTACAAGAATTAATCCTTGTTAAATTGTTCAAGGTGAGTTGGAAGTTAGAAGTACTATATATGTATAGCACTGTGAAGCACTTTGTATGCAAGGGTTCACAGCTGCATTGCTGAAATCATTTGCAGTAATAAGACTTGTGATCTTGTGTATCTTACTATTGCATATAAGAGTCTTCCAGTTCATTGTGAAGTTTGTTCTTTGCTGAACTTTTGGCTGGTTTCAAAACAACCCCTATTGTACTTGATTAAAACTAATCGTTTTTTGTTTTGTGCGCGGGGATGATCATGACCTATAAAAAATAAGGATTGTTATAAACTTTCTTAGTTTATGTGTGATTGTGTAAATCCTAGATTAGATTTGATTCTAGTTGTTCTTTCCTATATGGACTTGTATTCCTTTGGGATGAAGGATTTCATTACTATAAATAAAGGCACTTCGTAGGGGAATAGAACATCCGTTAACACACATTCCCTTACGATTCTACAAACACATTTCTTCTCTATTTTCTCTTCTTGCCGCTGGCCCCCTTCCCTTAGTCATGAGATAAAATAGGCTACAACACGTTATCAGCACGCTTCTACCATTGCGCTTAGGAATTTAACGAGGAGTTTTTCTGCATCAAACCAGTTCATCTATATCATCACGCAATCAGATTCTTCCAAAACGGTTTTTATTTCGATATTTTTGCAGCCATGATAGCATGAACATTCATCATAATGCATGACCCAACTTTACGTTTTTTGAATTTAGATTCTACATAAATTGTGTATGCATTATATTCATAATTGTTGAATTATTTGAATTTGATATTGCCATGAATTGCATCAAATATATGTCTATGCATTAAAATATTTGAATTATATGATATGCATTGAATTGAAAAAATAAAAAAAGAAAAAAAAAACAACAATCGATAGACGCCAGGGTTCTTCGAACCCATGACTATAGCCGCTCCCCCAGGCCTGCAGACTGTGTGGCTGAACCAAGCCGAGCCACAAGCCGAGAGCTAACAGCTTTCTCTCTTTCTATGAAAACCAAAACGACGCCATGGATGGCGTTGTCCCCAAACCTTCCCTCGCCCGTAGACGAGTCACGACACCAACGCCGACTTCCATTGAGAACCACGACCTGAAGTTGTGATTTTTGGGACAAATTCATCATCTTCGATGATGACCATTGAAATTCAAGAAGAATTTCATTAAGTTTTCAAGGATTTCGATTCGAAATCCCCATGGTTTTCACACCCAACGTTGAGAAATCGAACTTTCTCCGTTCACAATAGGGTTCCAATTTGAACCTGTGCTTCCCCCGACCAATAATCACCAAGAACATGGCCACCAGCAGTGGCGGCGTTGGCCTCAATTCCGACGATCTTAACCAGCAACCCTGGGTTGTTTTTTGGTCCTTACCCGAGTCCACTTGGGCTTGGCTATACTTGGTCCAAACACCAGCCCTTTGGGCTTTGGTGTTCATTTTTAAGCCTATTGGAGAGATTTATCAATTTAGGCTCACATATTGCAGCCCACAAATCAAAACCCGGCCCAAGTGTGACACAAGCCTGTAGGGCTATGTTGTCCCATACGCCTGCGACGCACTGGATGACGTCCTCCCTTGGGATCACTTGTCCGCGCCGCACACGATCCCAGCTCCATGCTAGAGACTTAGTGCACTGCTCCGCACTGCACCGGATCTGTACCCTTTCACGGGCTCTCATTTGGATCCAGTGCGCTTTTTTTATCTCTCTCGCCTTGGGCCTGCAGCCCACCTGAGATCACACTAGCCCAATCTAGGCCTGGACCTCATTGCAGAGATTTACTCAGCCCACCCGTGGGCTTTGGTCCATGTTTTTAGACCCCCGAGCTTAATTGCCTAATTATTTTAGGCACAATGGGTTTTATATTTTTTTACCCACACTTTGAATTTGGCCCAAAGTCCAAATAATTAATTCAATTATAATCTTTAGATCTGAAGTTTTATTTGCATATTTTTTTCTTGCATATTTCTGTGTATATATTTACGTTTGTCTGCAGGAACATATGAACCTAAAGTTCATAATTATTTTGAAATCTGAAGTTTCTAAAAATATGTCTTGTTTGAAAACCTGAAGTTTTCCTTAAAAAACATCACCCATGAAAACCCGAAGCTTTTTCATGCGAATTTTAACCAATACATGTCTATTAGAACCTGAATGTTCTACTCCTATGTGAATGAATTGATTTTTTTTTTCTCTATTGCACTAATCACATCTTGTCCTTTATTTTGTGATAGGAACATGTCGAATTTGAACAAACTCGACTTCACTGCTTTTTAGGTCTCTGGAAGGAACTATCTCAAGTAGGTCCAAGATGTGAAGCTCCACCTCATTGCAAAGAACTTGCATCCCACCATTGAAGATGAGATGGACAACCCGGTTGGCGAAGCTGAAAAAGCCACTGTCATGATCTTCATCTGAAGACATATTCATGACACGCTGCAAACTGGGTATCTTGCTGAGGAGGATTCATGAGCACTATGGGTCACTTTGGCTAATCGCTTTGATCACCAAAATGACATCTTCGTGCTTGAAGCAAGACATGACTAGCAACATTTGTGCTTCCAAGACTTTAAGTTTGTGAATGAATATAATTCTAAAGTTTGTTGAATCCGATCACTTCTCAAGTTTTGTAACGAAACTTTGACTGAAAATGATCTCTTAGAAAAGACATATTTGACCTTCTATGCTACTAATATTATCCTGCTGCAACAAAATAGAGCTTAGAAGTTCACCAAGTTCTCGAATTTGATCTCTGTTTTACTTCTCGCTGATAAGCATAATTAATTGTTGATGAAGAATCATCAATCTCGACCTACTAGGGCGACTGATGTGGCTGAAGTACATTATAGCACAAACCAATGCCCAAAACACCAAAAGAGGCGTGGTAGGGGCGGCCAGAAGCCACCCCGTCAAAGTCAACAGAGTCAAGGACATCTTCTTGCCTGAAGCACGACATGACTAGCAACATTTGGGCTTCCAAGACTTTAAGTCTGTGAATAAATATAATTCTAAAGTTTCTCGAATCCGATCACTTCTCAAGTTTTGTAATGAAACTTTGACCGAAAAATGATCTCTTGGAAAAAGCCTATTCGACCTTCTACGTTACTAATATTGTCATACTGCAACAATATAGAGCTTAGAAGTTCACCAAGTTCTCTAATTTGATCTCTATTTACTTCTTGCTAAAAAACAGAATCAGCTGTTGAAGAAGAATCATCAAGCTCGACCTACTGGGGCGACTAATGTGCCTGAAGCACATTATAACACAAAGCAACGCCCGAAACACCAAAAAAGGCATGGTAGGGGATGCCAAAAGTCACCCCATCAAGGTCAACAGAGTCATGGCCCATCTAAGGGAGGAAACAAAGCTCAAAAGAACCCTAACCTCGTTCCCAATGCCCCAAACTTCAAGAATAAGGGCAAAGCACCTGAAACCATGGATGCGGATATGTGATATCGCTGTGGGTCAAATAACCATTGGTCTCATGTTTACTGTGCTCCCCAGAAGGTTATAGTTGAATATCATTCTCGTCACAAGAAGTTTGAATCAAACTTTGAGCAAGTGGACGAATTAGAGAGTACCAAGATGGAGGTTTCTGACTTTCAACAGGATACCACACATATGGAATATTAGAATCTTAGACATAAACTTTTTTCTAGTTAAAATAAGACATTGGGGCTGAATTCCACAGTAGTGGCCAAACCCCTTCCTTGTTTTTTGGTTAATTTTGAACAATTTACCTTTATATTTAGATTATTTGTTGATAATTTGTTTTTTGGATATTAAGTTTTTAATTAATTACCCACTACTATAGTATTAGCTTTAGGTGGTGGATGATGGTGGCGGATATTAGAAAAATCATGTCGGTTATATTCGATAAAAAGTCCTAGCGGATATTTAGTGGCGGATATCAAAAAAATCATGTCGGTTATAACCAACAGTATTTTTGAATCTCTTTTCAAAAATATTTTTGACATATTCTGGCAGTTTTTAAGTTAATTGTGGCGGTTATAACCGACAGTTGACAATTTTATCATTTTATTTTCTGGTGGTTATTATTTTAGTATTCTGGCAGTTATAACCGACAGAAATGAAAATTTTATTATTTAAAAATGTTATATTGATTAAAAATAAATAAATAAACATATATTTTAAATATTTTTATTTTCACTCATGACCCTAAAGTCTAATGAACCTAATTCCCACCAGCCATAAATTTTCTGAGATAATAATAACAACAGACTACAATCTGAAGCTCTATCATTTTTGTAATAAGGATTATGCTCCCTCATAGGCAAGCAACAAGATACAAAGAAATTCAAACAATTTTTTTAATGCGTCACAAAGCACATTGTCTGGCACATACGCACACATGAACATCTGGTGTACTCTAACATGTCTGATTTTATTATTTTAAAATTTTATATTGATTAAAAATAAATAAATAAACACATGTTTTAAATATATTTTTTTTTCACTCATGGCCCTGTCGGATATAACCGACATGAATAAAGCAAAATTTTGGACGGCTGCCAAAATAATCTCTAAATGTTTTTTATTTGCAATTTTTTATACATGCTATCTCGGAGTATATACAAACATATTTGACGGGTTGGATCATTGAAACTAGTTTCGTAGAATGCATATCCTATCAAATTGATAGATTTAACAAACACTTAAGAGTTAATGTTATACTTCCATTAAGTATAAAATAAGATTTATCCACTAGTGTAAATATTTTAAATTGAAGATTGAATTTTTTCAATGCATTCTTATAGGGTCGAGGAGTGTAGCTGTAAAAAATCATCAAAATCAGAGCTAAAATAATCGTTAAATTGTGATTTTTTGTTTATAATCGTCAAAAACTTTTGTTTTGTTACCTAATATCTGAATGTTTGTTTTTTTGTGATTTTTTACGTATGTGATCTCGGAGTGTGTACAAATAAGTTTGACGGTTAGATAATTGAAAAAAATTTCGTAGATTGTGTATCACGTCAAAACGGTAGATTAAATAAACACTTAAAAGTTAATGTTATACTTCCATTAAATGTAAAACAAGATTTTGTGGTATCCACTAGTGTAAAAGATCAAATTTATTCATTGCATTCTTATAG